ATATCAACACTTCTTATTTCAATTGTGGGATCTACTTTTTTTTGTAGCCGCTAGTTTGGGCGTACCCAAAATGTTTTAGACAAATGTATACATACAAACATAGATAGAATTTGAAAATATAACAATAAAATTAAGAAAACGAAAACCATTGTTAAGAGGTGTGGGCTTTGTGGGCGTGGCAACATTTTAATCAAATGAGGTCCAGTAAAGTCAGCATGATTAACTCAATCTTATCTAATCTAATCCTTTGTAGTTTCCGAGAACGTTACGTGCATACGGACGAACAGACCTACAAACAGATGGAAAATGCCAGATCGATTCGCACGAAGTAGTAAATTTTGTGCTGTAGGAAGTATACATACAAACATATGTATGTAAGTCGAATGCTTTAGCAAGCAGTAGACATTGTACACGAGGTGGATTTACTAATTTACTAAACTCATGGACTTTAAGTGTGTAGGCGCCAGACAGACTGTGACGTTAAAGCCGTTATAGTGTACGTGGCTCAGTGTTGCACTGGGTCGGAGTTTCCTGAGAACCCAACGTTCATACGGACGATTTTAAAAACATAACATAACGTCACTAGAAAATAATTAAAAACCAAATTTAGAATAGTCTTAAACATATTTATGTAATAAATTTATCAACAGATCTGATGGTTGATGTAACCTTTACTCTACAAATTAGCCGAAGCTAATTAACATATAATTACCAAGCAGTAAATACATATATGTTTAATATGCGCAATAAAAGGAGCTACGTTCTTATGTAATGTGTGTATGTATGTATGCAGTAATATTACGTTAAAAGTGATGTATGTATATCGAACCAGAACTTTTGATGAATAAACAAGGAAACTATATTTTTTATTCTAATGTCAGCTTTTTGATATATTTCAAGCATATTAAAACCGAATATCTTTATTGTGAAAATTACATTAAAATAACATTAGCTGATAATTTTATTCTCATTATTATATTCTCAAAAAACTCGTCTAATTTATATTACGAAGGTACATTTTTTGTTTTTATTTTTTAATTGAGACTAGTTTGCGTAGAAATTGACGGGAGGACACTTCTCTTAATTCTGATCAAGAATATATGTACACATATCCTTAATGTGGTCGTAAATGTCTCCTTTACTGCGGATGGCACAGTTAGTACTACGCCTGATAGACTCCACACCAAGGACCCACAAAAACGGACAAACAGCCTCATCTGCACCATCTGAAGAACTCAGGGCGTCACTCAGACTGTGCCCAGACGAAACGACTCCTGAATGGTTACTTACAAATGTGTCAGTGGAATGAAGACGAATTGAAAACATGTGTTTCACAGCAAAAATAATACATATGTATATGCTGGTTATGTGTCTAGGTTAATGTACTGTGTGTGTTACAAAATGTATCACCTTTTTGTTTTTAAAAGGAATAACTTTCAACTTAATGAAAATACTATTTGTTCACGGTCGATTTCTTTAACAGAAATATTATAAAACACTCTCTGTAAGAAATATCACATTTTCACGTTTTGTACACGTTTTTTGCTTTTTCTTTCAGCATAGAAACAATATATTGTATCTCCGTCGGTTGCTAAATGACATTGCATACTTTGTGAGACTACGGTGACACTCAAAGCTTTTCAAAAGCTTTTTTAAGATAAAAACATTTCAGCGTTACCATCTGTCCTAAGCAGTGAAGGGTTATAAATATCGATTGCCATTCACGACTATCGATGCTATCGATATTTGATTTTTCTTGATGAAAAGCCGGTCGATTCAAATGAATGGACCACCCCTTATTCTATAACCGCAACAGTTTTTCAATAATCGTTAAGTGTTATTAGCTTAATTTCAATTTAAAATGTATACTAGATTCGTTGAAAAGTATGTCACAGGCAGAAGCATTCGCTTAATTCGCTTAATCTACTTAATTAGCAGTAGATCTAGCCTTGTCCATTATTCTTTAGACTGTAATTCAGTTATACACCATTTTAGATTTATATAGTTTCTTTATACCGAAAATGTAAAACTGTATAAAAACAAAAAAAACAAATTTGCTAAAATAACCAAAATTAATCAAATATGATTTGAATTCTGAAAAATGATTTACAGCGGTAAACATTGCTGCAACCATTGGAGTATTCGCCTCTATAAATCTGCAGTTAAATAGTTCCACTTTTTTTTTATAGTGAAATTTGAGAAAGTATTTTTATTATTCTGCCAAAAAAATTATTATTCCATCTAATTGAAATGAGAAAAAGGTCAGCAGGTAATTTTTGTACATCCCTTATTTGTAGAAAATAAGAGGTAAACCATACCCGCGTAGAAGAATATGTAACAGGCAGAACGAAAAGGAACTACGTGCAATTACTATTTCTCCAATTTTTAGTTTGTTACTTACATCATGTGTATGTATGTGTGTATGTTTGTATAACAAAAGAAATAAATAACGTTTTGAAAGTAACTTGCGCCTCGTAGGAGTTACTAGAATCTTCACGAATAACTTAAACTTTCTAATAACTTAGTTTCCGTGGTTTTTGACGTTCATACGGACGGATCGACTATGTTAGTGATCAGGTTTTGAAAAACTTCCTTAAGCTGTTATCTAAAAAAGCGTGTTGAACCTTATAAAAGTTATAATTATGACATGGTTTTAATTTTTTTTTTCTTGTTTTCTGTGCTATCGACTTTATGAAGTTATATACAAATGTATAATGTGTAATGTCTCGATCAGGAATAGTAGCCTTTAATGTGTGTCTGTATAAACATTCGGCTCCCCAAAAAATTCCGGTAATCATTTTATTACTCCCGAAAAGGGTATAGCAACAAAGATAGTTAGTAGTAGTAACAAAGATAGTTACAGTATATAACATAATAAATACAGCAATGGCATTTCCAGTACCTAGAGCTAGTAGCCAAAAACAACCAAAAGAAACGGCGGAAAAGCTGTCTCGGTTGGCTTGCAGACCGTGAAAAGCCACGAGCCACGATTGAAATACCGAATTTCATACCAAAACATATGAATACCGATTGTTTATATCAAAAACTATCAGGCGAATTCTACAAAAAAATGTTGTGTATACTTACATACATATATGTACATAACCATGCGCTCACACAGATACACACAAATGGTTACTCCGAGTTTCTTATGCGCAATAACCAAGCAAGTACCTTCTACGTCTAAAAAAAAATTGATAATATTTGTTTAGAAAAATTAGATTCGTCAGAAACCTTTGAATTTGGTCTGCTCTTTAATACATATGTATGTATATGGTAATATAATAATATTTAAGATCATTGAACTTTTTCGAGTGACTTATTGCCAGTTTTAATACAAACGCACATATTAACCACATAAAATGTACATATATAAGAAGAAAGGAAAATTAACAAAGGCGCGATCGGAGGGTAGGTTTTTTCCGGTCCGGACTAACAGGTGTTCCACTAATAAAGCGCGGGCAACAGTCATGAAATTTCCTTCGATCGCAAAAGAAGGCAAGGGATGGCGGTAAATGAACACCTGAATATTCTGTTAAATACATTAAATACACTACATAATTCTGTAAAACATTACTATCTAAATATATTTTTAGCATATCAAAGGGCGTATTGATGTATTTATGGAAAAACGGTAAATAGGGTTTATATCAGATAAAAATAGCAAAAGCCTTATGTTGTGGGAGAGTCCTGTTTACACTATACATATATGTTTACATACATATATACATACGTATATGGTTAAAATTAAATTTTATTTTTATGTCTTCTCAGTCTCATTTTTCTAGGCAACTTGCCTGGTAATTCTGATAAAGTATTGTTATATACTAATAGTTTTCTTAAATAAAAAACTTCGTATTTGTTGTAGTTTTTCAAGTGTTCAGTTTCTTATAACATACTATAACGCACGAGCCAGCTTTAGATTTTGAAACGGTTGAGCAATTTCTCTTTTCCCTTACGTGTAGTTTCCAACGGTAGTCGAAGATTTCTTGGCACGCGCCGTCTTTGCTTTAATAGTTTGAGTACCAGCACAGCCTACTTGAGTCGTCGTTCAGGGATACCAATTTAACTTTTTCTTGGTCTTACTATTCTGACGAATTTGTGGATTTCTTTTGTATAAATGTAAGCAAACAAGCTATATATACATATATATATATGTTTATATCATAAGCTATTGCCGACTGTACTCCTTTTGTCTATATTATATGATTTATCTATAAACATACTTCACACATTTCCTTATACATATGTATGTACAAGTATTTGGACTCTTGTCAACCTGTAGAATGCAGGTCACTCAATGTTATAATACAACGCGATCTAGTCAGTAAAAATTGGGGTTGATTACTTATGTATATAAACTGACGTAGCTTCCGTTCAACACAATATAGTTACTTCAAATATAATACATAGTCTAGAAAGCGCTTTTCGAGATCCGGTTGTCAAATGCCAAAATATATGAGAAATGAGCAAAATAAACCAATAAATATATAGACCTTAAGTGGAAAACAATTCGATGGATATTGATCGGTTAAACGTTAAGAAACCTTTAAGCACTCTGACGCACTGCAGGGCTATGAGATTTTTGTTGGACAGACGAAAGAGCGAATATACCGAATTGACTAGTGATCATGATCACAAATATATCAAACGATTCGAAACGCTTTCTTCTTCATTCCAACGAATTTAAAATACCCATTTGCTGTACGAGTAACGAGTATACACCAAACAGGGGAAAACAAGAATAACCTCTCATCCCTTCTCTTTCAGTGACTTTAACTAATTTGTTCTCTTTCTTTCTCTCTATCACTCATTCTGCTTGAAGCGGCGATCGTATTTGAAACCCAGCTTTTGCATCCGACGAACACGCTATGTCTCCCTATTAGTCGATAGCCAGTTGAGTGCGAATGTAGCCGACCAACCGTAAAGCCGCCTTGGGCCAAGTTTTGAGAGCGACTCTAATACATAAGCCATCATGAACACACTCGAAAAAGTGGTCGCTTGAGTTTGAGCGATGTAAACGGCTTCCGTCGTCCATTGCCATTCAACAATTTAGTTTCGCTCGAGATCTCTTGGCGTACGCTTCAAGATCCACCTGAAAATCGTGTTACTTCGTATATTTAAAGCCAACAGGTGGTACGCGCAGTCTTTTTACCTTTCAAGTACCGTACTAGCTTAGATCCGTAGAGTCAGTGATGTTGAGAGTGTATAAGGAACATTTAGACTGCATTGTGATTTTAAAGAGTGCCGCCGTTCAATAACTGACTATTTATTTAAATTATTTAAGGCAATTATATGCTTATCAATCCTTATAGTACGAAAATATTCAGTGAGTAAACTATATTGCGTGCATTTAGTTTTATATATTATTAAGGTGAAAATAAATTTTTAAGTTATCCAAGTTATATAACTTTAAAAACTTTAGACGATTGAGCTCGGCTTTGAATAAAAGAGCGTAAGCTGAATTTAAACGTCTTATATTTACCCACGCTCCTGACCTTGGAATACTTGTTTTCTCTGTTTTCATAGACTGTCTTAACTAAGTATTCTGGCTTCCCATAGCTATTATTCGACTGGAGTGTGTGAAAATACGATTTTTTTCCCACTTTTAATTTTGTTGAATGGAATGTAGTATGGGTTGTTACCCAGTATTCTGCCAAAATATCAGTTGGTATTGAAAAGAACAAAGTGTAGAGGCCCCAATGACCTCGTAGCAGGACCGCAGTGCTCGACCGTGACTTTTAACTGTATATTTTAAAATCCCAAAGCTTAAATAAATGAACAACAAAATAAATCTGTTTTTTTTTTGCTTCTTTTATATTATTTTGTATAATTTTCATATTAATATTTTGTAACTGTTACAATAGCATAGTCGTCCAATTGTTCTATTGCAAAAAAAAATGTAAATAAGTCAGAGGGCATTCTTTTTATTTATATATTACTGTATCGTCCTTCGGCGCTGCTGTTTGCCAACCATTAGAATTAGTATAACAAATAGGAAACCATCCGATGCTTGTATACCCTTGCACTAATTATATATTTGTAAAAAACAACCGATGTATACTATGTATCCGATGAACAACAAAATAAATCTGTTTTTTCGCTTCTTTTATATTATTTTGTATAATTTTCATATTAATATTTTGTAACTGTTGCAATAGCATAGTCGTCCAATTTTATTAAAATTAAACTTTATTTACTGTTTTAATGACTGCTTTATGATATAGTCATATTCAAACCAAAGCTTCCAGCAGTTAGTTAAACTGAGAGACTAGTTTACATAGAAACAGACGGACGGATTTCGCTATATCGACTTCGCTGTTGATACTCATTCTACCAAATGTATTCTTTACTGCATCAAATCCTTATACCCCCTGCAAGGATATAAAAAGGTCCGATGGTGGTGGTAAGAGGTGTCAAACTGAGCTTGACACAATGGTTTATGAGTGAATGTTTAACCTGTAATAATTATGTTAATAAGTTTATTCATCATAACAAATCATAAATAACTATTGGTAGTATATTTATACACACTCGTATACTAAAATCGTAAAAAAATGTAAGATATATATATTCTTGATCCGTATCACTAGCCAAGTCGATCTAGCCATGTCCGTTTGTGTTTCCGTTCCATCGTCTAGAATTCGGGAACTATTAAAGCGGTGCTAGCTTGTTTCAGAAGTTTACCACGCCCATTTGAACGCCCAGAGAGAACTCCAATGTTTTTTCATTTCTTATTTATTAAATTTTATCGATGCGCCGATAACGGCTTGGGACTCTAACGGCCACAAACCATAAAATAATCTTACCAAAAAGAATGGATCGAATTTTTCACCCATTGTTGTCCAATTCCCTTGCGCTGCTACTAGCTGATAAATGGGTATCTGATAGTCGGCAAACTCGACTTTAGCGTTCTTTCTTATTGGGCCATTATTGAAACTATACATGTAAAAATAAAGCAGATGGTCTAAGCGAACACATTTATTCCCATACTCATGTACGTAGCTGACTCGTTCATTTAGCTATATTGACCCTTAGGGGAGTGATGGTCCCAAAAAGGTCAATTAACAACAGGTGAATGAGTGCTAGCAAACACGTTTGCGCGGGTTCAGCCTTCATTTGGCGGGTAGAATGTGCACCTTGCTCGAGAAAACAAAGACAACAGAGACGTACAGTTACTTGAGCGGGAAGTGCAATAGTCTTTTGTGTGCCATAAAAGGCACAACTGGAAAATGAGTTTTACGCGTCAAATTAATTTAAAATGTTATTAATATGTTTAATCCTTTATAAAAAATGAAACTAAGATAACCAAACAAGCTCGTATACCATTTTGCTCTACGAGTAACGGGTATAAAAATGCAAAACTCGTTTTTTTGTTGATCATATATATTATAATTTATATTTCAAATCTAGTCGATCTAGATTTATTAAAGTTGTCTATTTTATATAGTCCATTTTTTTTTATATAGCTATACGAATAGCCGGAAAATAATTAAAGGAAATAGAAAAATCATAATTTTGTTTATACCAGGCAAATCGAAGCGATGCTACCCTTGAAGTACATATATACATTTTTGATCAGGATCACAAATCTGACCAAGTCCGTATGTCTGAACCCTGCAATATTGGGGAACTATAAAAGAAAGAAAAACCTTAAAGAGACCTAAACCTATAAAAGAAAACAAACCTCCAAATCTGCAACACTCAGTTTTGAAAAACTTGTCGAGGTTTTTCTTCTTATATTTTGTACTGATAATTTCTATTGAGCCGACAAAAAGTTGGCCACGCCCACGAACCGCAAAAAGTTGTCACGCATTTAGAATTGTGAAATTTTGTTAAATTAACTTTTTCGTGCACTTAAATCGGTAGGACAAAAAATGCACAAATTTCCTCCTAGCACTTCCACTAGCTGCCTAACAGGTATCTGATAGACAAGTAAATCGACTATAAAATTATTGTTAATCATAAAATGTACTAAATAGGTATACACCAGATATTTGACAACAAATTAACTTCGTTCGTGTTTGTTTTTATACCGTATACTCGTAGGGTATACTAGACTTGTTAAAAAGTATGTAACAGCTAGAAGAAAGCGTTTCCGCCCATATGAAACGCCCAAATTAAAATCCACAATCGCCCAAAATTGTCACGCCCACACTTTAAAAAAAATTTTTAAATATTTTTCTTTATAATTTTTTTTTTCCAGTTTCTAAAATTTTTCCAAAAAATTTTGACTTTTCTCGTTCGCAATTCCACTAGCTGAGTAAAGGGTATCTAAAAGTCGGGGTATTAAACTAAAGCATTCTCTCTTGTTTATCATAAATTACTCTTATTCGTCGAAACACGCCACTTTAATATTTACTTTCTGCAAGGAGATACAGCTTGTTTGCTTGCTTTAATTTATTCTAGTCGTCACTCTTAGAGTAATAGTATTCCATGAAACGTATGCAACAGGAATAAGAAGTGTTTTGATCCTATAGAGTATAATCATAACTCATTAGCTAAGTCGATCTGCAGATACTAAAGACGCAGTCGCAGGGTAAGTCTATTTTAGAAAATGGCTACATAGATTAAGTACTTTTGCTAAGCAAACTTCTCTGCTCGTTCCTTTCATAATAAAATAACACAAAATTTTCTCTATTCCAGGAGCTTTCTGTTGAATCATTGATTCTTATAATGGATGTACAGACATCGTCACATCATAGCCACGGGCTCGGGACACTATCACATGAGCTTCCACATCGTATTTTACAGCCGCACATTCTACACTCAACTCAAGAAGAAACCCATAATACAAGTACAGGCCAGCTTGATCACGATTCCCAGCATCTGCAACAACATCACCTATCTCATCATCAGCAACAGGTCGTTTCTCCGACTTTGCACAATTCTCAGAACCCCCGCACTGTTGATAACCTGAGCAGTACTATCAATGCTAATCAAAATCAGCATAGTCATCAACATCTTTCCGGAAGTAACGTGTATACCTCACCCCAAATGGAAGATAAGTCAAAAGGTAACCAAAATACCCCTGAAGAAAACATTTGCGCCATAAGAAGTATATATGTATGTATATTCTTCACCAGTAGCAACAGCCCAATCGATATAGCCTATCCGTCCGCCCGTTTTTACGCAAACCAGTCTCTTAGTTTTAAAGCTATCTGCATGCAATTTTTTAGTCGGAGCGGTTCAGATCACCCCACTGTATAATAAGTATAGCTGCCAAAGGAATAATCAGAAAAAAATGTAACTTCGGTATTTTGATCAAAGAGTGTCATAATTCGGTATACAATAGTTTTTCGATAATATATAATTTGGGTTGTAATTTGATAAGAATCGGACGCATAAATTTTGAGTTTTGAATTGTAAAATTTTTAAATTCGAATTCTTAAGAACGAATGTTAAATAATTATTTTATTTTAGGAAATAAAAAATAAGTAGATTGATATATTCCAGTTTACATTTTTGATTATACTTAAACAAAAGATTACATTTTCATGTCATTACCATTTGTAGTGGATAAGTGATGACCGACAAAAGGAAAGGATGGTAATTCAAGTTGCAACCGTCCAAATCTAAAGAACAATAGCGATTGCTGGGAGAACAGAAGGGGAAAACAGCGATTGAAAACCTTTTATATCCCCTTCCAAGATTTTGCTAGTGGCACCAGTAGTCGTAGAAATCGACTCTTTTTGAATTCATATTCAAGTTGTATGAAAGCCTCAGGGACCAGAAATTAAAAGGTGTTTACTTCAAGTCACGGAATTTCCGGTAAGAGGAAATTTCACATGTTCCCATTGGAATGTTCCACGATTTTCCTCCTCGAATTCTTCAATAACAAATAATATACATACATATACATATTGTCGTTTTGTACACTAAAAAAATCAGTAGCAATTTGTTCCTCCCTTAGATATGTTCTAATACTAACTTTTGTGACAAAAAATGAGTTTGCACTTGACTTTATAAATACAATTTAGTCAATAAATTTTTACTTGTATTACTAGGTATTTCTATTAAAATCAGTCATATGAGTACATTTAATATATTTCATTTAATCTTAATATCATTATTCGTGTTGAGTATATATTTCGTAGAAAATTTAAAGGGCTATACGGCTTTGCATTCGAAAAAATAGTTCGAGACTTTTTCATAATAAGCATAAATTTTAGTTCCATAATTTTTTTCCAAAAAACTTGTAGGAAGCGAGGATTGCATTTGATTATGGATATGTTTTTCTAAAAGGGTTTCAACTAAACTTTCTTATATCGAAATATTTTGAATTATTTAAATGGCTTCATGGCCTTAAAACACTGTTTGGATTCGCTTATACAACATTTATTGATGAAAAGTAATTATTTTGAATTGGGGAAAATGGCTGCTCTTATTTTCTTCTTTGATTTAGTAGTTTTAAATTGGGGAAAGTGGCTGCTCTTATTTTTTAATGACTTGATGTTGTGTCCCACCAGATCCATATGCTCTAGTATTTAAAATTGTTTCTTATGTTCTTTCACCCCATTTTGTCCTGAATCATATATTTTTTCAAAGTTCATGATATACAATCCTTTTACTTCATAAAATGCCGGTGTAACCAGTTTTTGAGATTTTTTACCGATTCTAGAAAATGTTTCAAAAATATTCAGACCCGTTACTCGTAGAGTAAAATTTTACCAAATTGGTTATTTTTTAAAAATACCAAAAAAAAAAATTGTTTGCCACGTCCGCTCTAACTCTTGGAAAATATTTCAATATTCTTCGTTTTATTATTTGCCATGCCCTAACTTTTGCATTTTCATTTCATTTTCTTATTTATGTTGCCAAGTTCAATCGATATTCCAAAAATACGTTAAAAGTTCTTGTTCGTACTCCCACTACCTGAGTAACAGGTATCTGATATTCGAAGAACTCGACTATACTGTCCTACCTTGTTTTTAAGTCATTATTACCAAAGAAAAAAAATATCAGAAAGTAAAACATTCTTTAAATACTAAAATCTAGCGAACAAGTTTGATGAATATTCAAACAGGATACTGAGCAACATTTCGGATACCAATACGACGCCATCTGCTAACAATTTCATGTCACAGGCCCAAGGCGTGGAGTGGATAACAGCCATGAACGATATTCAAAACGGGGCAGGTACCACACAGATATCCGTGCTTATATTTATACCCATATTTAAATGGAAAATATTATTCATATATCTTTTCAGAAGACTCACACAGTTCGCAGGGCAGTATTTCTGGTGATGGTAAGATATCTTTATAGTTTTCCATACGTATTAGTACCGTGTGACCGAATAGTACACATACCCATCTCCCACGTAATCATTCACACTGATTTTCGCATCAGCAAATGTTTCTCACAAAGCTAAGTGACCACCGGATCAATTTTCTGCGGCTTAGTTGGAATTGTCTCAAGTAACTGGGTGCCTAATTGAAAAAAAATACTTTGACCGCAAGCTGTTTCCTGGCTATGACATAGTTCTTTTTGTTTCTTGAATTTATTTTGTTCGGGTAATGGAAATGGTCATTGGAGACTGGACGCTGTCATTACTAAATTGATGATTGTGCGACATCAAGATCTGATTCGTATTCAAATTGAAGTACAATTGGTGTACGATTACAACGCTCCTTATAATCACGATATATAAAAAAATGTTATAGTAACTCAGCACCGAATCGGTGTAACCACAAATGTATGGGAACACAGATTACTCCATTAGTACAACTTAAATCGAGTGAAGGCAGAAACCACAAATCAAGTTGTTTCCGGTAGCTTAGGTACCTTCTTCGAGTGTTAAAGGACTTTTAAATTTATATAAGCCATTTTCAAGCATGTTAATTTTAAAGTTCGTACTGATACAAGTCAGTGTTATTTTGTATAAAAATATTTATAGTTTCAATTCTCGATGAATTTCAAAGGGTTGGTTTGATAAAGAGAACTACAGAAAAGTGTACAAACATTTACTATATTAAGTTAAGTCAGTTAAATACACAGTTGGAATTTAATTTCAAAGTAGATGCACTTTGCTTTATTTTTGTTGATAACTACTAATGTGAATAGTTTTTGAAAAATGTTGTATTAAACTAGATAAAACAAGGTAGAATGCTATATGCGAGTTCCACGACTATCAGATACCATTTACTCAGCTAGTGGAAGTGCAAACGAGAAATTTCAACATTTTCTGGAATATCTGTAGAAATTGCGGAAAAAAAAATAAAATGAAAAAAACTTTAAAATTTTTTAAAAGTGCGTGCTTGAGAGTTTTGTGCAGTTTGTGGGCGTTGGAGGCGTACAAAAATTTTGTGGGCGTGGCAAAAATTTTGTTGGCAAATCTATAGAAATTTACAAGATATATAAAAAAGTGAAAAAATATCACACAAAAATGTGGGCGTGACAGTTTTGTGCTGTTTGTGGGCGTTAGAGTGGGCGTGGCAACATTTGGAAACAAACTTGCGTAGCGTTTATGCCTATGGAAGCTGCATGCTTAATCTCAGCATTCTAGCTCTTGTAGTTCCTAAGATCGAGGCGTTCATACGGACAGACGGGCAGACGGACGGATCGTAATCAAAAATATATATTTACTTTAAGGGTATAATAATTGGTCAAAAACAACGAATCTTTTATTTTGTTCTGCAGTCTTTTATTCTATTCTGACTAATCATATATAATATAGTCGTCCGATTTCGATCTAATTAAACCCGAATTCATATATTTGCAACACTGTATGACAACAACGAATGTAAATTTTTGGAACTTATTTTTAGATTACTTTATAGACAGCTTTATAAGAATGTGTCATTTCAACTGTCGGAAACTTAATTTAAATATATGACACGAAAATATAATTTCGATGTTTGCATACATGTTCAAAATTATTGAAATAATAATAATGCTGGTGTGCATTCAAATCAGCAAAATTTAGAATTTTAATTAAAAATGTTTTTAATGTCCGGAAAAAACTAGAACAATATTTTAAGGCATATATCAATATCTATCAACAGTAATTTTCGGTAAGTTTTACATTTTTAAGGTAATATTTAAGGTAAATATTATACCAAAGACATTAGAATCATGGTTATGCTATTTATGCTTTTCCTTTGGACCATGAGTACAAAAGTTTAGGTAGTTAGGTAAATATTCCAGATAAGTTACATTTATTACGCTATCTCTTTGAAGTACATCAGATCACTTTTAAAATTGTCACATTTCTAAATACTGTTTTGAAACATATTAGGTCCTATTTAAAATTTTGCAAAGATGAAATTAGTTATTAAATTTCAATGGGTAGATACCGCAGTATTGCAAAGAAACGGCTACGTGTTATTCAAGAGTGAGAAAGAGATGTCGAAATACGCAGCGACTACACGTGAATGGAGTAGGCATGGAGGTGTGCTGTGATTGGTGCCATTGCACACGATGCCAGACCTTCTTTGTGGCTATTGGTTGATTTTGTGGCCGCTCGCTTGACATTGCCAAATCTGTTTGCGCTCCTGTTAATGTCAGTTCAAGACGGACGGAGAGCACATGCAAAAATATAAATTCATTAAATATTCTTCATACTTCGATTAGCCGGCTTAGTGTTTTTTTGACTTTTGGCATACTCTCTATAAATTAATTGTTGTCGTTCGGAAGCCCAAATTGTGCCAGCTAAATTTGGAGAAGTCAGATCTATGCGATTGCGTAACCGTTGCCCCCTGGCACTATTCACAAAACCTAAAACTGCCTAAAAATAAACATTTTGTCTATCCACACAAATGCTGGCATGCTCGAAGCGATTTTATTGGCCACTACAAGAACAGCCACCCAGTATTCTCGTTTGGCGATGCTACGCCTGGAACGTCCCCCGCCTTTGGACCGTCTTCATTGGCTGGCTGCAATGTAAGATGAAAACGGCATACCGGAGTCAACGGCAACCGATATGGGTGGGCGGAGCGGTGGCGTTGTAAGTGTAAAGAGAACGACGTATTGCCAAGGACATGCATACGCCCGCGCCTTTGCACGTGAAGTAGAGATAGGGACAATCAAAAATTGTAGAAGTAGATAAGAATAAGGAAATCGTGCGCAGAATCTCTGCGGCTGACAGCAAACAGTCCGGAAAAAATGGTTAGCAATATTTTACGGTACACAAAACGAAAGAGAAAACACGCTTTTAAATAAAAGAAAAAATAATGTCAATGGCTGGCCAAAAGAAGACCATATCTACTGAATAAGCCACAGCAACGAGAGTGCTCGGTCCACTTTACTTATGCAAAGAAGTAGACAAACGAAAATCAAACTTCATCTTCAACAGCCTGCCGATGGACAGTGCTTTTCCAGAACGTCAATCTGAACATCGGTTGCTGCAATCGGAGCACTTCTAGCTGTTCCGGCATCGATTACAAGTTCGGTTTACCGTTACGGTTTGTGGTTGCGGTGAGATACGTATGTCACGCTTGCAGATAAATCCCACCCTTCAACAAACTTTTAATAAAATGGTGATCAAAGTGAATACAATAATGTGATTGTGTCTTAATTTTTGGTTCGAGAAAGAAAATACAATACTACTTGTCTACTCTACGATGGACCTATCTACAGCTTATCGCTACAACCAGAACATGATGGAATATTATACATGTAATAACAATATTTTATACGCATTTGCGTACTGCCAAAAGATGTTTAAAATATCTCAGAGTACCGAAGTTAACTTTTTAAGCTTTGGGCGCTACTGGCACCTTGTACCGAAACCGATGATAATTAAATTATTTTTTAATGTTGCTATTAATCGTCACATCCGCATTTTAGATGATTTATTTAATTTCAAATATTAATTTTCAATTCCTATATTTATTCCAAATCGATTAAAATCTGATTTTAGGAATTGCTATAAAATATTTGTATTTGTGTATTTAACTATATTCTTTATTTAATAGCTTGATTTATTATGTGGCTTTGCAGTCACGAGCAAACGGCAACAAACACATTCTATACATTCTTGTGACATTAAGAACAACAATGCCCTTTGTACGCACTTACTGTAAAGCAGAAATCACGCAGAGTAATTTCAGCATGGGTATAGGTCAAAATCTTCAGCTGCTACTTTTATCTATTTAAAAATGTTCTGTTTAAAAGATCAAAAAACAAAGGGAAGCTATCTCCGCAAACATTTTTTCATGTCTATTGGTCTTAAGAGTTTAAGAGGGTAAACGTAGAGAAAAGTTTTTAAATATCTATTGATACTACCAAAAAAAAAACAATAAAAACTTTTAAAAATCTAAAGTTTTTTCAGATGTGTCGTGAGGTATTTCGGCCAAAGTGGCACACAAATAAGTACGGTTTACGCTTTATCGACATTATATTATATTATAAAAGGCATTACTAAGTCTGCGTTCCTAAGTAATTACAATTACAGAAATAATTACAGAAAGGTTCGTGGTTATAAAGGGAAAAAGGTTAGGAAAATACTTTTATTATAATAAAAGAATAGTATAATTAAAAATATGAAAAATGTTATAGTCCTGTATCTTGACTGTCAATTACGGTTAACTTAGCAACGACTTCATTTATCATGACATTTATTCGGTAAATCTGTAGTTATTAAAATGTATAAATAAGCATTCCTATTACTCGTAGAGTAAAAAAGTAATCTAGATTTGTTGAAAAGTATGTAACCGGTACAAGGAACCGTTTTCGACTGTTGTATTTCTTGCCGATTTCTCTGAGTAACGGGTATCTGTTATTCGGGGATCTCGACTGACATTCTCTCTTGTTTTTCTATCTATGTATGTATCTGTACGGTGCAGAAAAGTACATCTGATTTATTATAGTTTTTATCAAATATGTTTATACTTTTAATAATATTACAACTGCTTAGCTCAATCGACTCATTAAAATCAGGAATTACACATTTAAATTAAACTGAATCAGTACGCACTGAAAATTTAAATTAGTGAACAAATTGAGAATCCTTCAGTCATGTCTTTTAAATTAAGTGTGACAAGTGAACTTTTATCTGTTCACTTGCAACATGTTTGTCATTAATACTTCTGCGTTCATTCTATATGTGACGTGCGGCATCTTTTGCTTTACATAGGCAGCGAATCGGTTGTATTTTACGAAATAACGAAGATAAATATACACCGATAAAAACAAGAGAAAACGCTCTAGGCGAGTTTCCCGACTATCAGATAGCCGTTACTTAGGTAGTGCAAGTGCGAACGAGAAATTGAAACTTTTTTCTGGCATATCGATAGAAATTGGGAAAAACAATAATAAAATGAAAAAATATCTAAATGTGGGCGTGGCAGTTTTGGGCGGTGTTGGTAGAAGGTAGAAGAAAGCGTTTCTGACCCTATAAAGTATATGTATTCTTATAAGCTAGAAAGCGGACACTAAGCATGCGGATTCCAGAGACATAGTTTGTTTCCAAATATTGTCACGTCTACTCTTATGCCCATAACTGTTTTGATACTTTTTTTATAAGTCTTGTAAATTTCTATCGATTTGCCAAAAAAACATTTTGACCACGCATAATCTAACGCTCACAATCCGTACAAAACTGTAACGCCCACACTTTCAGAAAATGTTCAATTTCTTTCCAGCAATTCCAGATATTCCGATATTACAAAAAAAGGTAGAAATTTCTCGTTCGTATTTACACTAGCTGAGTAACGGGTATCTGATAGTCGACTATAGCATATACTCTATCTATATAGCATATACTCTCTCTATACTCTTGTTTTTTCATTAATTATTCGATTATTTTTTTTTACCAGTTTTGTGATACGATTCAGCCCCTCCGACTTATATAATACATACAAAAGAAATAGCTTTACAACTGAGAGACTGGTTTGCGTAGAAACAAACGGACGGAGCTAGCTATGTTGACACGACTGTACATTAATATTATATATATGCTTTATATGGACTAATGTGTTCTGTACAGTGTTGCAAATTTTTGTCCTTTGAAAGAGTATACGGACAGGTTAAGATATGCAAGCATCAAAGCGCGTGGTATAACTAGATAAATGCCATTTTCAATGCCATTTAATAAACCTTTTATTAGTTCTCCTATAGTTTGATTTTAACAATTTCTGGCACGTAGATTGATAAGCAGATCTAAATATATTTTAGACATTGACAAATAGACAGACTAGATAGGTTTATTAACTCGAATAGTTTTCTGATCAATAGTAGACTTATAAGAAGAAAAGGCTTTCTACCTATTTCTAAAGCCATAACTCTACACTTAGCCCCTGTACCAAATGCCAATAGAATAATTCGGATGCTATAATGCATTTCGTTGCGTACTGAAGATGAGCACTAAGATGCTCAAGAAGCCTACTATTTAGAGCTGTAAAATTGAAAGTCAGCTACGTAGACCGATGCAACGAACTATATATTATTGAAGCCTCTGTTAAACCTCTATGAAACTGCATGTTCAGGCTTTTCAAAAGGGCATTAGTTCAGGAAAAATGTAAGTACGAGTTCAAAAACGAATACAGTAGAATCCGGTTATAACGACTCCGCTTATAGCGTCCGGTTATTGCGAAGGAAACTCGATGGCTTGGTTGGTCCCCATACAAGGATTAGTACGTTAGTACGTCTCCGCTTTTAGTGACAAACCGCTTATACCGACGAGATTTTTCATAACCCAACCGGATATTGCGACGTGCCAAAAGAAAAAAACAGAAAAATGATTACAATAATTTACAGTAATACTTTACAATAATTAAAAAAAAAAATACAAAAAATCACAAAAATGTTTACAGCGTCCGTGTGCAGACCTCATGCCTATATATCCCGTTATATTTCTAGTTTTTTCTTCTTTTTTCCAATTCATTTTTATGCTTAAATTCGCTAAATGTGAGGTAATGCACTAAAGGCGCATAATGAGCTCATTCAGTTTAAGCTCGACACTTGTGCATTAGGCCCACAAAATGTCTTTAAAACGAAAGTGCTTCTCCGTCGAAGAAAAAATGCAAATTATTCGGCGCTTGGAAGCCGGTGAGCCAATGAAAACACACATTTTATTAAATTAAATTTATTAAGATTTTTGTTTGATTAAAAAATTAATTTGTTTTATGTTAAAACATATTACGAACATGGCAACCATAAAATAAACAAAAAAACATTTGTTTTTGCCACCTTTCTGTTAGTGCGTCTTCCGGGTATAACGACGTAAAATCGTCGGTCCCTTGAATTCGCTATAACCGGATTCTACTGTATTTTGAAAATTGTGATCAACATGATATATTAGTTATTTGGGTATTTTGATGTTGAACTGGAACACAATTTTCCAAGTGTAGGGCAATTTTCTGGCATTTAAGGATAATTTGGCTTAGGTGTAAGGTTTCTAAATCAAATACAATTTTTCAAAAATTTGGAAAATATTTAGAAACAGTCTAAACAAGGTTGTATAGTTTCTTGAAGTCAGGGTAAGCACCACGAAGTTCAGACAGTGTTTTTTAAATTCTCAAAAATAAAAACTCTTATTTTTGTTTTTTTTTTTTTTTACATGCGACTAAGCATTCATACATTTGTATGGTATAATTCATACGCAGTTTCGCGTGCCCTTTTGGTATGTAAATGTGTATGCATTTGCGACTCAAGTAGTGCGATTTTTAGACATGATCTTGCCTTTAATTTATTGTATGTATTTTAACACTCATCACAACACACTAAAATCGAGGCATCACTTATGGGTAAACGAAATGCACAACAAAACATTTTTCCACTCTTAAATTAGCAAAAAATAGAAAATTGTGTTTAGCTATCTGGCGATTTTCAAAAATGCTTTTAATGATAAGATTCCTTTTGAACCTGGTCTTTCCTTTGCTTTTTTTTTAACTAGATCAGAGGTTACATATTTAAAGCCGATTAAAATATATTTTGATTTTAAACTGAAATATGTCCTCAACAAATTACCTTATATTTTTTATTATTTTGTATTACACTTTTTAATGCCAAGTGAATATCAAACCTTAACATAGCTCCATTTGATTTCTCTTAATTAGGTCATGGAGGCGTTAATCAACTTGGTGGTGTATTCGTTAATGGTCGCCCACTTCCCGATGTCGTTCGTCAGCGTATTGTGGAGCTGGCCCACAATGGTGTCCGCCCATGTGACATATCACGACAATTACGCGTTAGTCATGGTTGTGTGTCTAAAATACTTTCAAGGTAATGAAGCACTTAAGTGAAACGAGTTTTAAAAGTAAATACTTCATTACAGGTTAATAATAACTTTTTTCCGATCATATGAAGTATATACACCACATATGTATATTTATACTTGATATTGGTCTGTTCCGCCGTGTGTCTGTCCGTATGCGACTCGGCGAGATCTCGGCGACTTTTCCAGATTGCCCACGAACGGCAGACAGCGGTGGTAACATTTATTGCTTACGGCTTATATTTTGTTTTTTTTTTTTTTAACTTTAAATGCATATGCGACTTGATGCTATTGATCTGATCTCATAGAGTCGGAAACGCTCCGCTCTATCTTTTTTATACTTTTCAACGAATCTGGAATAGACTTTTACTCTATGAATAACGGAGATAATAAAGTGTCCGAATTGTAGATTTAAGAATTGCGCGTATTGTCATAAGCAGTTTTTAGCATTTCAAGTTAACTGAAATTTCGGCACAAACTTGTATATTTAATTAAAAAGTATCAATAGAAAAATGTATAAGAACACTTTGTGTTCAAATACAACGAAACTATTTTCTAATATTTTTGGACTTTTCCTATAAACAACATACAACAAGGTATAGTCGTCTGATTAATTCGAATTAAAACCGAAAATAGGTATTGGCTTAAAAATTGTGTATACATATCGATTTCATGATCGAAAACACCGAAGATATAATTTCTTTTCTATTAATTAGCTACTTATTTCACGTCTGTTCCTATTGGAGCTATATGATAAAGTCGTTCGATGCTTTTCAACAACTAACTAGCTTATATCCAATTAGAATACAACGAACATAAACTAAAGTGGCCAGACTCAAATATGTAAGACTCAAATGTAATTTAAAAAAGTCTTTTCATGCATTGAGCTTTAAAACTTAAATACTAATTTTCGAGGAATCGTACGTGCGGACAGACGGACATGGCTTTATAGATGTACTTTATATGGTCGCAAATTTCTGCTTCAATGCCTAGCTGTTGTTGGGTTTTGGTTCTTAAGCTTTCCAATCCTTCACTTTCAGATATTATGAGACTGGTAGTTTTAAAGCTGGTGTTATCGGCGGCTCCAAACCGAAAGTGGCCACTCCTCCGGTTGTAGATGCAATAGCAAACTATAAACGCGAAAATCCCACAATGTTTGCTTGGGAAATACGAGATCGACTTTTGGCAGAAGCTATATGCTCCCAGGATAATGTTCCCAGCGTTTCTTCTATAAACCGGTAAGAAAATACTAAAAAAGAGTTTTAGCCCCGATGAAGTCCGAAACAGATTAGAACGTATATACGCACATCCGTTGTGCGGATGTGATCTAGAGTTTGTTTGCTGTCATGCTGTTAACATCCGTATCCGTTTCCTTAAAAACTAAGCTAGGAAAGAACCCATCTTCATGCAGTACTGAGACTTTATGTTCTACCAAACCTTTCATCTAATAAAAATATCTAAGTAGTTTTTAGCGTTCATAATTGTGGCACAATGCTTGACACACGACCACAACACAAGCCACTTTCCCTTCTAACATCCGGTGTGGCTTTATTGCCGACAACATCATCGTAGAATCTTGGCGTGCCACGTGGCAGTACCGAAATCGACACTGTCCCACACTGCTATTATTTACGCGCATCCATTTTGACCATAATTTATCTTGGTGGCATTCTACGATGCCACCTAGAAACAGCTGCGATAACTTTATATTATTATTTTTTGTTTTTAATTAGCAGAAACCCTGTTAAATTTAAATTAAATTTACATTTAAAACTGTTATAGTACCTCAGAACAAAATACAAAAACAACCAGAATTACTATCATCCATTTATGATCTTTCTTCCGTAACTACGAAGATTAGGGAAAACATTTGGTGACAACGAAATTAAATTTTTTTTTTCAAAATTTTCGATTAGTTGTCCGATGCTGTACGTTCCGACTTACTTCCTGTAATGACTTTAAAACTAAGAGATTAAACTAGTCTTTACTAGTCTTAGGAACCATTGTGGAGCCTTTCATAATAGAGTATTGTGATTTTAAATATGATTCCGTTCACATTGAATAAAATATTCATAAACTAGCAAAGACATCTCGAAATATCATAGAGAAATTGTAAGTTTAGGAAAAATGTTAAAAATTTAATTCTAATTTAACCAAAGAATATATCATTATCTGTTGATCGTTTATTTCAAATGGCAAGTCGCACTTGTTTCTATTTCTGCATGCTAAACAATTTAATTGGAATTAGAATTTTTAACCATAGCCGACACGTGCAGTCATAATCAATTCGTTTCGTATTACCTCTAGGTCTGCAAAAAGTAACCAATGTATAGGCTGGCATGTGGCCGTTGGTAATGCAAAAGTCGCGACGGACAAGGGTAATTCATTGTATAATCAAGAAAGAAGAAAAAAATTCATAATGCGACAATGTGTGATGTGATGGCACTTGAGCGATTATTAGGGTGGCGGTGATTCAATCGAATAACAATTGTGCGTACGGCGGCGGCAGGACTCCCCCTTATATTGATTCCCAGGAGACTGTCACTTAATAAAGTGACTTTCATAGCACTCAACCAATTTTAGTTTTCTGCCCTCCACTCAAATACATTGAAATGTGCACGTAGCAGGATGTACATTTCTCGCATCCCAAACATATGTCTCAATTGTGTGCACTGTCCATATATCCAATTGCTCATCCCGTTTTAAGCTGGTACTCAAAAAAAATAGCAAACCTGAAACTGTTGTCTTCAGGGTACGAACTGAGCAGAATTAACTTCTGCACTTACAACCCTCTGTAGCATATGGTTACCTTAACAATCTGAAAAAAAACTTGTCAAATGTTCTTAAATCAATGCAATCCCGGAAGTCCAATGATTCTTAATAGGTGCATTAGGTCGTCGCGATTTGTAATTATTAAAGTTTATAGCAAGAGTGAAAACGAAATACCGACTCGACACGTTCAACATCCCTGGAGTCTACATCCCATATTCTTGCCGCTTATACGGAGAGACAGAAGTATATAAGGACATGGCTGTAGTGACTGCGCTAGCAATGCTGACCAAAAATATTAATGTCTTTCGCGTCGGCAAGGCTTCCTTCTTGTTTGTTACAACAATTTTTACTATAAGCTTACTACTTATACTTTACTATAGCTTAACTATAAGCTATTTATTATACTGTTTTATCGTATTATAAAAAAAAATCAAATTTTTAAAACATTTTTTTGTAATTTGTGTTAGTTTTATTCACGCTTCACGCACGATCTTTTATAAAAGGCTTAGACAGATTTCAATAGCTTTTTCCGCGCCCACTTTAATGCCTGCTTTAAAAAAAACTGTCTGAATCACTATAATTTAAGAATATAAATCATAGGTTGTAAATAATATTATCGCCAAGGTGCTCGTGTGCAACTTGGAGAACCGTCACAAAACGAACTTTTAATTGCAGTTATACGGGTAATCTTTATTCGTTGATAAGTATGTAACAAGTATAAATATCACTTGCTGAGTTGGCCAATTTCTATCGAGATTCTGGTTAACATTCTCGTCAAGCCCATTCTAACGCCCAGAAACCGCACAAAACTGTTACACCCAAACTTTTAAAAAATATTTCTCCTTAGCACCAATCCACCTAGCTGAGTAGCGGGTATCTGATAGTCGAAGAAATTGCGTTCTCTCTTTTTTTAGTAGGTTTATGCACGAATTGGCATTTAACTGTGGGCCTTTTTTACCTGTAGAGTGGTTTGACCTTACCAACTAATTTCTTTATTTAAGTCACTTGAAATGTTATCCCTCAATTTCAGAATTGTAAGGAATAAAGCCGCCGAGAAAGCCAAACACGTACATCATCACCAGCAGCACCATGTTCCACAGAGTCTCGGTGGGGGACATATTGCAACGGAAAGTCTTGACAGCAGCACTGGAACGAATGGGGAACCGCAGCAACCAACTAGTAATAGCAGTGCTAATTCCGCCAACACAAATGTCTCTGCGTCGGCGAGTGTACACGTATCTATACCGACGTCAGGCACTGATTCTGTTCAAGTTTCAGTCGGTCAAATCAATACCAATAGTAATGAAACCAGGCTTATAAACTCAGCGACTGAACAACGAACGACTGGATATAGCATAAATGGCATTTTGGGAATACAACATGGTCACCACTCTCACAACAACAATAACAACAGTAGTGTTAACAATAATAATACGGAATCTAGTTGTAAACGCAAAAGAATTGAAGCTCATGGTAAGTTTTTTCTATAATTAATATGACTTGATTTTTAAACAATTACTTTAAATGTGAACAAATGAAAGCTGGAGAAATCACGATAACCAACGTGTGGTAAAAATATAGATAATTTTAACATAAACAATTTCAATTTTTCATTAAACTCCAGAAACATATTCAGAAACGAATCAAAAACTAAGAATTGCCTTGTGGCATCGTTACTTCAGATATCTTGCACCGCTTGGCGGACATGCCAAAAAGATTTAATCTTATTTGATTTTGAGGGTTGCTGATAATAATTCCAAGCTGTTCAAAATATCTAGCCCTTGACAGATTTAATAAGCACCCGTTAGTCTATAACACCAAGACAGCAATCACACCCTAGATTTGAGTGGAGTACTACCATTACCCTGGTGGCATTACACACATCAACGTTATCAGATTTTAACAGAACTGTAAAGTATTGTCATTAGAAGGGTAAAAAAAGCATATAAAAATTACAAGTCTACTTTTTTGCCGTTCTTAAAAATGTCATTCAAAACCCTTTGGGAACAAATTGCTTTTCACATGTGGTAAATTTGTTCAAATAATATTGTGTCTGAAGTGGGACCATTAAATGGAATAAATGGCTTTAACCAAATGAACAACTCAAACCCATTTCGAATAATTTTTTAATTTTCTTGTGTTCAGTGGTAATATTTATGAAAATACACTATTCTGGGTAAGCTGGGAAAAGCATTTAAAACGATTTAGTAAGTGCCTCTTCTACCAGGTACTAATATTTTAATTAAGGAACTAAATATTTTTCCTGTATGACTTTTAAAAATTTAACTCATTTCATAGTATATTCTTGAAATGCGGATGCCATTTTTGTAAGAAAATTGGCACGTATGGGTTTTTATTACATGATATCCATGACTGACCACCAAAAAATTTCATTATGTAAATTATCGAGAATAAGTTGCGACCATTTTTGGGGATGAGAAACGTGTTCTGGACTATTATTTATTACATTATTCTCCGCAAGGGTAACATAAATATATGAAACAATGTTATAAGGGTGCTTGAAGTACTTATATTTGCATTAACGTCAACGAAAAAGTGTCTATTAACTTACAAACGCACTTAGGCGGCACGTGCATATGAAAAAGTCTTTTGTTTCAACATCAAAATATAAATCAACTTAACTGATTAAAGTTTAACCAAATTTTAGATGAGAACCGTGACGCAAATATACATTCCGAAGATGATGGAAAACGGCAACGTATGTCAACGTACAGTGGCGATCAACTTTATCCAAATGTAAGTGTTCAAATATATTAAGCTACTAGATATTTACACCCTTGGATGTGATGTAACAGGTAAAAAAAAACGTTTTTTTTTTATTTTAATTTGTTCATTAGTTAATTGTAACAAATTTTAGTAGAGATAGAACGACTCTTTGTTGTAAAGAAAAAATAATCGGAAAAAACCGCATTAACTTAACTATGCACGAATCATAATAATTAAAAAAAATTACCTTGAAGAATTTTGAGATAGTCCACCGCCAGGCTTAAGCGTGTCCTTTACTTAATGTCTTTACATTTTATCTCCAGGTCTACGTCACTATTATTGTTTTCCATCGGAATGAAAACGGTTAAATTTATATTAATCATACCAGACAACACACTTTTTAAATTTTACACGATAATTTTTTAATTTTGTTTACCAAATCCAGAAGCTCTTTAAATCCCAGCAAGCTTCTAAGATTATAATACCAAAGGTTAAAAATAAATCGAAGTCCTTTCTCGCATTTAAGATTTGGTCAGGAAAATGGTGTATAAAGGATGAGCACAAGCTCCTTGCCGAGCTAGGCAATTTATCAACCGGCACTGGAAACTGTGCTGCAACCTACTATGAGGCATCAAACGGATTTTCAACAAACCCAATATCAGGATCTGGTCCCACAGCATCTGGCAGCGATACTTCTATGTTGTACGACAGTATTACAACGATTTCGCAAACTCAAAGTTCACTTTATACACCAGCAATCGGACCTTCAATTGGTAAGTTATGCTGTCCTCTGTTTTTAAAATCAATTTCGTTCGTTTTCATGTATAATTATTTGGTCAATTTATTGTTAATATAATTTGCAATTTTTATTTTTTTTATTTTTATTTTTCTTTGTAAACGTAACCGATGAAGGAGCCAGTTCGCTTACCCCGTTAGTTCCTATTAGTATGCATGAAATGAAGTTTAGCACAAATTCAATACAGGAACAAACAGTCCCTCCATTTTACACAGGTAAGGAACGACAGATTTGCTGAGTTTGAATAACAGCCTAAAGTGCAATGACGCATAGTCACATTTTACAATCTTTAATAAAAATTATAGTGATTTTAATTATACTGTTCTATATTTTGTCACCTCTCTGACCAGGTTATCTATTACACCTGAAAGTGATTAAGTTCAAAGTGATTTAAGTTAATTAAGTTCAATCCGCATAACAGCAAGGGCTTGCGCCATTTAAAAAACTGATCGATGATAACAAAGGTTAATTTTTTTTGCATATATACAACTAGGGGAATCTAAAAAAACATAACATACAAAATACGTCTTTTAGTGTGTAATATCGAAATATTGTTGAGATCGGAAACTTTTCGAAAACATCATAACAATATTAAAAACTTCCAAAACGCATAGCTTTAGTCGTCCTTAAGTTTCTAAAAAAAGAAAATATGTTTTCACTCAAACGAGGAAATAAAATAAAATCGCACTGAATTTTTACGACACAAAAGATTCCAAGATTAGATATCTTTTAATTCCATTGCATATATATTAGCTCTAGCATTTGACGGAAACTACACATCAATGACCAGTGTGGAAAATTGTTCATCCTTAGTCGGGCAAGAACACATTGTTGTGACAGAAAGCTCGGATCCGACAACTATTTGCCCGATTAGTACTAGGATTGCGCCAGACAATACGGAACGTAATAGTACCCGTGTTAAGGAGACCCTGACTAATAGTGATGGAGGCAGAGATGATAATAATACGGAACCTGAAAAGTCTATCTCTAATTCGCAATCCAGTGATCATATTGCTTTACCACATCTACATCAAATAGGAGAGGAGCAATTGAGAGGAAATAGGCGAGCACACTTAAACACAAGTACACATCCATCTTCTCTAATACTTCTGCAGCCGAGCGGAGGAACATCGTCACTAAATATAAACCCGTCTGACAATCGATCAGATGTTGAACCCAATCTAAGTAATAACGTAGGCCTTTATTCAACACCTACAATGCTACCAAGTTTTAATCACTACCCCGCAGGCAAGTTGATAATATACGCGCATAACGCAACTTAGAAGATTATCCCATGACTTTCTCATATTAGCACCTTTCTTCTATTGCACAAAACCGGTGTTGGGATAATTAAGATGAAATCTAACTGAAATTTCAAACAACAATAGCCGAAAAACATGACAGAGTGCTATAGTCGAGTTCCGCGACTATCAGATACCCGTTACTCAGCTAGTGGCAGTATAAGTAGAAATTTTAAAATGTTAGGTGTATTGATAGAAATTGGAAAGAAAAGTAGAAAGAAACATACAATTTTTATAAATCGTGGACGAGACAGCTTTTTTCAATTTATTTCAATAAACAAGACAAATGTTGAAATGAAAAAAAATCTAAACATTTTTCGAAAGTGTAGGCGTGGTAGTTATGGGCGGTTTATGGGCGCTAGAGTGCGGGAAGCAACGTTTGGAAACATATTTGCATAGCTTGGGCATCACTAAAATCTCCATCTTTAATCCCAACTTGCTAGCTTTTAAAGTTTCCGAGATCACGGTGTTCAACGGATATGGCTACATTGAATCGGAGTCTTAGGAATATGTACATATATGAACCTTAACTCTCTGTCGGTTCGGTTAGTAACGGAAATGAAGAATATTTAAATATATATTTAAATATATGAGGTATACATACATATAAAGGAGCTTGTTATAGAAGCTTCTCATATCTCGGTGACGTCATTGAATGATGTTGACTTAGTAACTACCAAACAATCAGTCCCTACATGTCTCAACACAGGTTTTTAATTTGTGGGAGCGAGTTGTCAGTTCAATATGGTTTAATCAAAACAAGAAATAACTTACATCTGCGGTTGTTCATTGGCATGTTCATACTTCATTCTTATGACTTATTCGCTTCTATACTGCATTGTAAAACTTAATGTAAAAGTCACATCACTGTTGAAAATTTGCTCTGCTACTGAACAAAGTTAGAGGCATATGCACAATTTGTCGTTTCTGGAACCAAAAGTTCTTGTTTTAATAGTTCCCATAATCTATACATTCATAAGAACGCACAGACAGACGGACAGGCAGACAATTATGGTTCGGTTTACTTGGCTTAAAATATATATAAAAATATATATAAAAATATATATATATCATATATTTCAACAAATCTAGTTAACTAAAAACAAGCAATTATCTTTACCGGTTATTGAATTGCAATAAACTATATGTACTTTAACCTTAAATTAATTACCCATTTTATCGATAAGTTTATCGATATCGAAATTAACTAAGATTTAAATATATTTTTATGTTAGTATACTTTATAAACTCGACTTATTTTTTGTTATATTATCATATTATAGACTACATCAAAAAAAGTTTTTATTCATTTTCAGGATGCAACTCAGTTGGGCCCGGCTCAGATTACGCCTACAACCCTGCATATACGCAGTATGGCGGAGCTTACGGATCCTATGGCTATGGCACTGGCAGCGGCTTGATAAGTAATTAATTTTCAAATACGGGTTCTTGAAATACAATAGTTTATATAATAGTGAAATGCAATAACTGCTTTATTTTATAATTATATGGGTAAGCAATGAAGAACGCTGAAGCATTAGTGATTTTAAGTAATGTCCTCCTTTGCAATATTTAAAATATATTTCTATTAAAAAAACAAGATATAATGCAATAGTCGAGTTTCCCGACTATCAGATACCCGTTACTCAGCTAGTGGAAGTGCTAACAAGAAATTTCCAAATTTTTTGGAATATAGGTAGATATTCATGGCCAGAATCTGGTAGGACATGGCCAGATCGACTCGATTGATCCTGATCAAGAATATATATACTTTATATGGTCGGAAAAGTTTCTGTCTGTTACATACTTTTCAACGAATCTACGCTACGAGTAACGGGTATAAAAATTTAAATCGATATTAGATTGTAATTTTAATGTTAATAAACATATGGAGTGGCTTAAGGGCAGTCCTCTTTTTTTATAAGACAGCATTGAATTTACCTGGTTCTACCTACCTATTACGTACATACCTTTATGAAATCCAAAAAAAAAAAACAAAACATTTCGCACTCTTATTAAATTTTTTTAAAAGTCAGAATTGGTCATGATAGCATAATAATTTTTTTTAATTTTGATTTTTCCTTTTCCCTTAATATGTGTTTTTTGATCCTTGCGTGAATGATCCTAATGAAGTTTACACCAAAATTATATAATAATCCCAGATTCGTCCTACTACTACGAGACCGGACAAACCCAGCTACCATTAACACAAGATCTGCGTTCACCTTTAGCTGCAACACGCGCAAACTCTCTAGCATCAGCTGCATCACCCGGAAGTGGAAGTGCGTGCACAAAATCCGAATCATCGGACATTTTTCTTGCTTAATTAAGCGTAATATAAACAATAAGTAAGAGAGTTTAAAGTACTCACAACACAAATACTTCATTAAATTTATTTAGGATTTACATAAATGATAGAAATTTGAAATATTTAGTTATTGTTCAATTATTTTTCAGTGTTTCTGTTTGCTGTAAATACTCACTACCAATATGATTTATAATGATTCGAATTAAAAGAAATCTTAAAAGGAACATAGTTTGATTCAAATGCAACATTGAATGAGAACAATCTCTAATTTATCTCGGAAATGCATTTATAAGAATTTTAATAAGAATAATTTTTAAACTTTACAACCGGCATTTTTCTTCTCTGCCCAATGAGAACGGGATTAGAGACTATTTAAGCATATACAAGCAAACAAACATCACTTTGTATGAAAAACAAAATCTGCACAAGGAAAAGATTATTATTTATTTATCATACAAACTTGCATTTATTAATAAGTTTAGGTTACAATTTAAGAAGGTATATTTATAAGAGTGAAAAATATAAAATATTACAAAAATAGTAAGTTACTCACTCATCCCTTACATATGAAACCAAAAGGCCCATTAAGGCAAAACCAACCAAAAAGTTAGAACGAAAGTTTGAAAAACTTCACAAATATTTTGTAACTAAATATTATTTAAGCAACAAAGTATATAAGAATTAATGTAAAAATGTAAATAATTAAATGACTATTATATGTTTTTGAGTCAATAAACACGCAAACTTATAAGTCTTTGCGCAACTATTACTCGGTGCGCATCTTATTCAAAAAACTATAATGGTTTTAATTATAATATAAAATTTATATGGCGTGAATTAATCTATGAACTGCAATATCATTTTTTCTTTACTATTTATAATAATGAATATTCTTTAAAAAATTTGGTCTATTAAGTGAGATCAAGTTAAAATATTTTGATTGTTAAAGTAAAATAATAAGTTACTTAGCCTAAAAGAAATTTTGTGCAAACCGTATTACACATTGCTTTATTATAAATTTTTAAATAAAATTCACCGCTAAAAATGTTTATATTTAATTTTCTACGACTTTTTTTTAGAAAAAATTTGTTCTCTTGGCCTTTGTAATATACACATCTAAAATCAAAAACTCGTAACAATGTTTCATGACAGAATAAATTATAAATTATATAAATATTTTCAAATTACTGTTTATATTCCGTTTTAAAATACTCTAGTAGACTTTGAGCGCAATATTCAATTGAAGTTCCATTCGTTGTTCAATATATTTAGACCTAATCTAGTTTTTACAACAGGTTATAATAGTAAAGCACAAACCAAATTTAAATGTATTTAGACATAAACATCTATGTATCTTAATAAATTGACAAGTTAAGCAAATTATATAAACAATTCGCGTCTCAATTGGTATATTATACAGCTACTCCGTATATAAAGTGTTATATTATACAGCGATCAGGGCAGCGCAGCGTAAAACCATCATGAAATAAAAAAGAAAACGCTTCAGTCGAGTTCCTTGACTATCAGATACCCGTTACCGAGCTGGTGGGAGTGCGAACGAGATATATTGTTTTTGACAGAAATTGGTAAAATAAATAATGAAGTGAAAAAAAAACCTAAAAATTGTGGGCGTTGGAGTTTTTGGTGGTTTGTGGGCATTAGAGTAGGCGTGACCAAAATGTTTTTGGCATATCGTTAGAAAGTGACAAGACAAGATTAAAAAAAATGAAAAAAAATCAAAACATTTTTTTTAATGGCGGCCGTGGCAGTGTTCGGTTTGTAGGTATTAGAATAGGAGTGGCGACATCAGAAAACTAACTTGCGCGGCGTCTATGTCTCTGGAATCTGCATGCACTGTAATTTGTAGCTTTTATGGTACCTGAGATCTCGACGTTCATACGGACGGACAGACAGACAAGGCCAGATCGACTCGCTATTGATCCTGATCGAAATACTCTACGACTAACGGGTAACCGTTTGTAGACAGTACATTGGCAAAAACAAGTTTTTATTTGATAACAGTAACAGTGATCGAACTTCCCCTTTACACAAATAAACCAAATTGTAGTCTGTGTGGGCATATCCGCCCATATCCCCCACGTCCACACTTTTGTATTTATTTATTTTTCTATTGTATTATTTTTTTGACAACTTCAATCGATATGCCAAAAAAATTTTTAAAGTTTTTCGTCCAAAATCCCACAAGCTGGATAACAGGTAGTCTGTTTTCTTAACAATTTGTGTTGTAGCTTTTATTATTAAAGGTTAAAAATGTTGGTGCGAAAATAAATAAAAGTAAACAGTGTGGGATCGCTCACTCGTGTTCAAGAATTACATTCTAATCTAGCAGCATCGCACGCTTGCTGGATTTTGAAGCTAAACGAAACACTAAGAAACAAATCATCTACTTGTGTGGAATACCGCTAAAGGGTTTTGTCCGGTTGGACACTGAAGCGATTTACGGATGGGGAATGTTATGTAGAGTAGCGTGCATTTAAGGATCGTCTTTAATGTTAATGGACATTGGCGGTCGTGGTCGGGTGAGCACTGATATCATAACTGCTGTTTTGAGAAGCTGTTCCTTGTTAGTCATTTGTCATCAATTGAGAGCTGTATCGCTGATTAAAAGTTTACACTTGTGAATACTCCTTTTAAACATTGCTGCATTATATTTATAATTGTAAGATTATATTGAAAAAATATTTATTTAATGTTATGACATAAGACAACGCCAAATAAAATGTTTATGTTTTATTATCATCATTCCAATGGTCGGATATACCCTAACATTCGCAAGGGAGATTTTTCGGTTTCGTTTTTTTTCTTCCCATTCCCTTTGCATTTGAATTCGGCGTTCCAGGCTGTAGCGGACCAAAGTATTTTTAAGTGAAATTTTTGTTCGTTTCATATCAGAAGTTTTTTATTTACTTCATTTGTATTATTGATATGTTGAGAGGTGTATTTGTTTGCTTTTAGAAGTTTTAGAGAGGTTATTACATTACCTGAATGCTATTACAGAAGAAGTTCGCACAAGCTTAGTAGCACTATATATATCTATGGAAATATTATTTTGCTGGTCCACAAAGTCAATCAAATGGAGTGCGAAGACGGGAAATTTAAGGTCTTGCTTATTAAATTTGGGCTAGTAAAAACCCTTCCCCATTTTATAATATTCGACATATACATATGTATATACATATATAGATATGTTTGTGCTTGTGAAGTTGGCTTTTTTTGAGAAAAAAACAAAGGTGTAGGTGCCTGAGCTCTAAGGAATTTCAACCTCTATCAGAATTTTAACAAACGTAGCCAGAACATAATCGAAATAAATTTTTTTTTTAGGTTTTTTTTCCTAAGAAAATTATTTTTAATTAGTTAAATTATAAATAATAAAAATTAATTATAACTCAAAGTACATAAGCCTAATGTAAGATGTTTGTTAAAAATAATGTATATTTTATAATAAAATGCATTTTAAGTACGTAAGTCTTCAAGAACGAAATAATGTAACATTTATGTAAAATAAAATACATTTTTATTTTGGATTGGCAATTGCGATCCAGATCGCTACGTCTTGAAAGCGACATCAGTTCGTCTCAATAGCGAGAAGACATTCTTTCAGTATCGATACAGAAATGAACGATAGTCAATAGCAACCTGAGAATGTTTAGATCTTGACCTGAGTATGTCGATATTGGCTAGGTTTTGAGATTGAAAATATTAAAATCGAGAACGTTGAGAACTTTTTTTTTCTAGGTGTAGGGATAGGTACTGAAGGGACATTACTTACGGATCAGACATCTGCCACCAGTATGATCGGGTCAACTCAATCTGAAAGCCAAAATTTCGATTGATTCGACTTAACTCACTTGGCAAAAATGTGATCGTGAGTGATACAAACTCTTAAAAAAATTTTAAGCGCATCGTCTGAATTCGTGTACGATGCATATGATTATGAGCAAACTCAAAATATTATAACAATTTTAAACAAAAACATAGGAAACATCTCTGAAGTATAATCCAAAAAATATATTAATTCAGACATTGATTGCTTTGCAAAAACATTTCTATAAACAATTTAGCCAAAGTTGCGAAATTTCGAAAAATTTGTTTCAATATAATATAATATAATATGTATCAACTATATAAAAAAAAAAAAAAAATTAGAAAGGAAGCTACCTTCAACGAACCTATGCTTAGTAAATATATATTACAAAAAACTGGCTTCTAATATATTAAATAATAACCGATGTTTATTGTCAAAAAACTGGTTAATACGAATTAGAAAACCAACAAAGCTCTAATTTTTTTTTTTTTTCTTTAATTTGTGTAGAAAGGGACGGACGGGCAGGATATATCAATTCGGCTGTTGCTACTGATCAATAAGATACATACTTTATATGGTCGTTATATGGTTATATGTCTCCTTCACTGCGTTGAAAACTTCTGACTGAAATCAATTTTTAGCAATTTTTATCAAGAGTAAAAAAGGAATTTTTCCTTACTTTTTTCGTCCTTTGCTAAGCCCATACCCGTCTCCATTCAAAATAGAAACGATCTAGTTGTATTCCAAAGTAGAGTCACATTAAGAAACCAATAAAAAATGCGATTTTAATATTACAAATTTGTGGGTAATTGAAAAATAAAATTTGTATACCTTCGATATGTCTCTTAATCTAAGTTGTATACTTGAAAATAATAAATCAATAACAACTTCTGCTTTATTAAATAACTCAAAATTTTTGATAATACGATTATTTTCCAAATTTGTTATATTTAACTGTTAGGCTTAAATTATTGGGACGGAGAAACCTCCTTCTATGCATTAGCGACAGAATGCAGTTGAAATTTGATAGACATGTGCATTTACATTTCTAGGTGACGGCTGGACAAACTATAAATTAAATAGATCTTACGTTTATATATTTTTATGCCTATAGCTTTTATTATTTATGGATCTAGCGGCGCTGGTTACATAATAATTGTACTATACCTTAGCTATATTTTTGCTCGCGCTATTATTTTACGTACATGCATATGTTGTGTTACGCACTTTCTCTGACTTAGTTTTTACAATTAAACAATTACAATAAAAATGTT